ACATATTATTAAGTTCATTAAAAAAAATACTTTTATCGATACAGCAATTAAGATTACAAAAATATTAGATAGTACTTTTTGGACTTGAACAAGTCCACATACACATGAAACTGGAGATCGTATATAGTAAATCTGCGTTCTCAGTTTTTAATTTTCTGATCCTTTCTTCTTTTTAAAGGACTTCAAAGTTTCAAGGATGTACAAATTTATATTTTTATAAATGTTTGTCAATATGTGTATCAAATAAAAAAGACAATCATTGGAAATGAAACAAAAGAGTTACTTAAATTTTATTCCTTCATATTTTAGTATAATTCTAACAAATTCCCAATTAGTACCAGCAGGAACAATTATTATAAAAAAAATTAAATTCATATAATAAAAAAATATTTAAGCTATACTAAATACTAAATAAAGATATGAAAGAAAGAAGAAATATAAAAATATATTATGGAGAAAATGAATACGTTTACTCTGCCGCTTCTATGGAGTATGTGAATCTCGAAATATCGACCAACAGTATTTATCAATTTTCAATAATTGCTAGGTCCTGGTGGAATCGTTCCCCATGTTCGTCAGTAAAATTATCCAAATTATCGGGGAAAAAATCTAGGTGCCTTTCTAAGAAGTGTATTTTCAGTGACATATTCGCACCCATTTAACCGAAGTTGCGAACGAGACTGCGGACAATTTCTTTGTAGTTTTCAGATTTTCTATTACCTAAGAAATTTTTTATTATGGCATCTAAACTCCTCCAACTATTTTTCTCAATAGGTGATAGAAGGTTTGGAAATTCCTTGCAATTTAACAATTTTTTAGTTGGGGTCCATTAAAAACACCTTAAAGTATAAAAGATTACTTAGGGTAATACAATAATATATGCTATACGCACAATTGGGACGAACGACGAATTTTTCGCAACGAATTTTCGTCGTCAGATATAGAACACACTAAACTATATGAAAATACGCACAATCAATGCGTATGACGAAATTCGTCTTCCGTAACGAACTGTGCGATAGGTTTATTTCTATTTCATACGCAGACGAACGACGAATAAATTGGTGTAGGGTGACCCTTTTACATTTCGGTTTTAGAACTTTTTTGTAAATTAAGTTATTTTTTGTTTTAAGTAGTGGCTTCTTTTATGTTTATGGTATATAAATTAAGTTAACACGATTTTTTATTAATATAATTTTCTTTTAATATGAAAATAAAAAATATTGAGAAAATTTTCAAATAAAACATTTTTTGTTTTAGATATATGGTCACACCAATCAGTATGTAAACAAAAAAAGATTTGAAAATTCATAAATTTTTATTAATTTCGTGTAGTTTGTTTAAAAATGTGTTGAAAATATTATTTGTTGTGATTTTATATTACGGGAAGTGCCGCGAAAATTAAGAAAAAATAAGAAATTTTAAAGCAATTCGCCATACGGAAGGATTTATTGTGTTTCAATCGACGAATATACGCAACGAATCATTGTCAAGCAATTCGTTGTGTTGGACGAAATTGGTCGTTCGTCCCAATTGTGCGTATACCAATAAGTATTTAGCAATCGAACCTACCGGCGTCAATCTTTGCTTCGCTTAATTTGGGAAAATTTTTTTTCAAGTGCACCATAGCTGCACTGTCAACGTCTAGTGCACGAACAAAATTTTTTATAAGTCCCAACTTAATGTGTAGCGGTGGAAGTATTATTTTTGATGACGGCACGAGCTGAATATTCTCAATGCTATCCTGTCCAAGCTGATGAACAATACGAGGCTGCCATTTGTGGTCGGTGTAATGAAGATCTTTGCGCCGACCTTCCCAAAGACACAAAAAACATTGGTGTTTGGCAAACCCTTTTTTTTAAACCCATTAAAATGGCAACTATTTTCAGGTCAGAACAAATCATCCAACAATGTCGGTCATAATTTATTAATTTTAGAATAGCGCTTATATTTTCATAATTTTCTTTAACATCTGTACCATAAATAATTGGCACTGATGGATACACATTACCTACGTGAAGCAACACACCTTTGAGGCTCTTCGTTGATCCATCTATAAAGAGGCGCCATTCATTTGGGTCATAGGAATGGCCAATAGTTTCGAAAAGTTTTTCAACATCATCTGCGTAAGTGATGTCAGTTTGGTCATCCACTTTGAAACATGCGTCAAATGATTGCTCGTTTGAACGCTTTCGGACTGATGTTACCCGAAAATCTTCAGAAACCAATTTCCATTTTTGTAATCGGGAACCAAATACTTCAGCACTTCTTTGCGAAATATTTGTGTCACGCACGAGATCATCAAAATCCGCTTGGGTTATAAAATGCGGCGATGGATCGGCTAGCATATTTCCTATTGATAAAAATTCCGAATAAAGTTTTGATCTAGAGCCGATAATCAGTAATTCTAAGTCATCACATGGAATTGTGCGAACCTCTTCCGATGGAGCCTTTGGATTTGATGTTGAACGTAGTACCGCGGGCTGCACTGAATCACATTTATGGTAAACGATTTTCTCCCTATCTTGATTCTTCAGCCTGATGGTAATCGGCTGATTTCGTCAAAAGTAACACAAATCGCGCGAATGCTCACTCCGCTTCAACCAAATTACTGGGTACACATATTTTATTGGGAACTGCTTAGATCGTAGTAACCCCTTGTAACAATAATTACACACAACTTCTGATATACCATGCCTTCGGAACCATGTTTATAAAAAATATTGTTCATATTCATCCACAAAAGCCTTTGTTACATTTTTTCCTTTATTAAAAGGTACAAATAAACCACAAACATCACAAAATATGTTTTTATTAGGACATTCCATATTACTTTTTAAAAATGACCACTTATTAAAAATTATTTATAAGAATTCTGACATGTCAATTAAAAACTACTAGATGCTTGATGTTACATAAGATATTTAACTTTTTTTTTAATTAGTAGGAAAATTATCTGGGACATGATAGAAAGAAAGAAAAAATGTTTAAAGGATTTTCCTTGAAATTTGTTGTCCTGAAAAATTAAAAAAATATTGTTTCCATTTCTGGTGACCGTCTTCTTTTATTTGACAAACATTAATTAATAAAAATGTGTATATAAATATTAATAGAAATTTTTACATCTTTAAAATTTTGATTTCCTTTAAAAGGAGAAAAGATCAGAAAATTAAAAACTGAGAACGCCGATTTACTATATACGATCTCCGGTTTCATGTGTATGTGGATTTGTTCAAGTCCAAAAAGTACTATCTAATATTTTTGTAATCTTAATTGCTTAATTGCTGTATCGATAAACGTATTTGTTGTTGTAATGAACTTTACAATATGTTTTTTTCTGTTTAGGCTTAACTTATAAAGCTATAAGAACGAAATTTAAGCATGTGTTAATAAAGTATATGCATGGTTTCAACATATATTTTTTTTAGAAAAATATATTGGAAATTCTCAAGGATATAAAAGGATACATTTTTCAAAGGACTTTTTTTACAACTTTTTGTCCTGAAAAGTAAAAATAAAAAAAATTATCTACTTCTAGAAATTGTCCCCTTTCATTTGATATCCATATAAAGAAAAACTAATGAGCAGAACTATTTAAATAAATTTTAAGAAATTTCTATATCCTTAAAACTTTGAAGTCCTTTAAAAAGGAGAAAAGATCACAAAATGAAAAACTAAAAACGCAGTTCTACTATATATGACATAAGGTTTCATGTGTATATGGTCCCGTTCAAATCCAATAATTGCTGTCGCACAGTGTTATTATTATTATTATTATTATTATTATTATTATTATTATTATTATTATTATTATTATTATTATTATTATTATTATTATTATTATTATTATTATTATTATTATTATTATTATTATTAAATGCTGTGGTTGCTTCCTGTTGTACTTTTAACCGTACAGACTTCTGGCGAAGACTTGGCTGTGTCCGCCAGGAACCACAATAGTGCTTTTGGGTGCCTTTTTATAATTAGCGGCACTCCAAAAGACTCTTAAGATGGCAATAAATTAAATGCCTTTAGGTGCTTCCTTTTTGCAACAGCACTCTAAAGGACCTTTTTTTTTATAAATATTAGGCTGGCAGAATCGCCGTATAGAACGGTTCTTAATTAAAACAAAGTTATATTTGGATGTACTTCGCTAGAGTTAAGCGACAGTTCTCTAACAGTAAACCGAAGTGTGTTCTTCATTAAAAAGATTATCGATTATACACTATACAATGAATAGTGTAACAGTTGGACAGAACATTGAAAGCAATAATTACATACAAACAAAGCAACGATCAGTACTACACAATAATTATTCACTGTTTTATCGATTCTGTAACATTATATTATTTTTAATTGTCACTTCAATATTCTGTCGGTATAAGTGATACATGGTTTATGCTACACTTGATGCCACTGTGGTCCTATCGCGCTAAAATTTTCCAGAATCCATTTCTATAACTGTAAGTATAAGTTTAGATGCAGAGACAGCCGCTATTCGCAACTTCTGTAATATTACAGAATTTTATATTTGGTCCTCAAGTATATAGTCAGCAGGCCTAAAAGATGAAAATGTGGAAAGTTGGTGGGTGGTACGACTTTTTTATTTCCAAATTCGGAATCAGGACACCAAATAACACTGGGATTAGTGAAAATTATTTAACAAGTTTTTTTCATCGATGGTCTGTGTAATTACTATTTCAATTGCTTATTTGAGAATAGAAAGTTGTTTTATTACGAAAATTTTTTTAGAAAATTTTCATACAATGTGTAAAATAAATTAAATTTTATTCTGTAAAAATTAAATATAATTTTTCCACGTCTAATGATACAGACAATTTTTAAAATATTGCAGATAATTTGGTGTCAATTCCCAGAATTGGAAAATATGCGGGAAATTGGAAACTCTAATTTTGACTAAAACTAAACACTAAAATTATACGATTATTCAAAGATATGAATATAACATGTTGATTAGATTATTTCTTTTTTAATTTCAGATTATGTCTGGCAAGCCGTAATACAAAAGAAAGGAATAGCTGAACAACAAAATATTTTTGGAAGTTACCATATATGTCTTACTAACAAATCAGTTACATTTATAAAAATAGGTCGTGAAAAAAATGTGTCCGATAAAAAAATTACTAGAATTGAGGTTTTACTTACAACAATACGCAGGTAAGCAAAAATTGGCAGCGAAATATCAATGGGTCGATTATGTATAGCAACCGAACTTAAGTTGCATTGCCAGCTTCAAAATAAGAGAATGATTACAGTCCATAAATAGTTCAGGTCAACCAAAAGCTCATTGAACTAAAATTATTATTGAATAAAACATTCAATATTTATAAAGTTTCCAAGCTATTGCTTAAAAAACGTCCAGTTTCCACATCATTTTGTCAACTGGCAACCGAGATACATAATAGACTCACAACTTAAATTGTTATACTTACCATCTGGGTCCTTATTATATTAGAAGACAATCTACACAGTTCAATGCGGTTTTAGATTTAACTATATTGCCAAACATCACCATTAAATTCACATTCCGTTATTGCACGGACTTCTGCCCCAAACCATCAGGCCAAAACTTAATTTTTAAAAATGAAAAATAATTTAATTTTTTTATTTTTTTTAAATTTATTGCTGTTTTCCAATTTGGAACGTTTCCTTTGTAGATCGAACATAAATTTGGCTTTCATGAGTTCAATGCTTTTTTGCCGTTTGAAAAACGAGAAACGATAATTATTGGGTTCTATAGCAACACCGATAAACATTATAGTTTAGAAGCTATGAATACAATTGGAAGAAATATGTCAACCTATGTCGCGCTATGCCGCATTTACCATGCAAACCTGGCCAAAAAGGCAAAAATGAATTTAAATAAATTAAAAAAACTGAGTATGCAGTTCGATAGACATCAAAATTCTGCATAATTATAGTGAATAGTTTAAGTTGAGATTTCTTTTGAGACGATGCCAAAGTAATTTTCTGTTTTAATATATATCTGATATAGAAATGAAAGTATAATTCATTCAAAATTTAAAAAAAAAAGTTTTACACTTTTTTGCCACCTCCAAAAAAAGACAAGGATTTTAAAGGAGAAAGTAGTTTTTAGTAGTTTAATGTTATATACCACAGCAAAATATTAACTCTCTATATTCCGGAACAAAAAAATTTGCGCCTTTTTTTGTTTTTGGCGATTTTTTTTTTTTAAATTTCACTTTCTGCGTAATTTTATAGTTAATTTTCAATACTTTAATTTGAGATTTGTTTTGAGACGATGTCAAAGTCAGGAAAATGGAGAAAATTAAATGCTTATTTAATTCTTAGAGTTTTTTTTCCATTCTAAAAGGTTAATATGATATTTTGTGGCTAAAGGAATAGAGGTTTTATATTGATTTTTTATTTGAAAGGTGAGACCACCCACCCGCTAATTTTTATTTTTTATTTTAATATATATCTATATATACAGTAGTGGAAAATTTTTTTCTTAAAAATTATCCGTTAGAATTTTATGTTTTATATATTGAATAAAAGGTATTTAAGCCTACTTTCTTATGATATATAGAGTTTATAAGATTTTTTGCTCCATAGTATTTTATTGGTATTTGAAATATTTAGCATTGGAAAAAATAATAGAAACGATTCATAGTATTACACTGGAGACATGAGCTGAGATTTCTTAAAAGGCGTTTTTGTACTTATTTTAAACATTTTAATTGTAAATGATATTCGAAAATTAATTTTAAATTTAGGTATAGCACTGTTTGGGAATTAATACTAGAATATAGACCCAATACGATCTATTGCAAAAAATAAAACAAAATGATTTTAAATGAGGAAAATAAAATATGTTTTTTATTTCATTATCTTTTCTAAAATCTAATACGTTTATTTTATGAAAAAAATTATCAAAAATATTCTTTCTGATGTTTTTATATGATAGGGTGCATTTTATCTAAACTTACGTATCAGTAAACTACCTACAATTCAAACTGAATTTTAAAATTTTTTAGATTTTGTGAATTTTTTGTGTTAAATTTATTTATTTATTTTAGCATTATTTCACCAGTCCATAAATATACTTTGATATTTAAGCCCCTTTTTAACCACCAAGAACGGGTCGAATTGTAAAATAGCGAAATATTGCTCGAAATTTGGCCCAAAAATCGGTGGATTGTCGTTATATATAAGTGGATTCAAAACTTTTCCTTCTCGAAATCTTCTCAAAAACTAATTTTTTAGATAATTTAACCATTAGATGTCATTTCTTTCACTATCTGAACTTTTTATTTAAGAAAAGTATACTTTTATATTAAGAATTTCATTTATAGTTAAAACTTTTAAAAATAAATACAAAACGCAGTTTAAGAAATCGAAGCTTGTGTCCCCAGTGTAATACTGTGTATTGTTTCAGTTCAATTCAATTTATTCATGATATATAATATTTTACATTTCTCTTATTTCTATTATTAATGATAAAGAGTTCAAGAATGATTTCTTTTTCTACTTAATTATGTACATTAATTTATAAAGTTTTGCGTATACATTGAAAAAATTTTTAATTGGAGGTAAAAATTAAGCAAAACCCTATTTAAACATTTTTTTAAATATATATAAAAACTACTAATTCTAATACCTAACTACATACGATGAGCTAACTCATTGATATGGTCATAACCAGAATTTATGCATCTGATATTAAGGTTTTCGTTAAGCTTTGTAAGTCTGTCCTTAACTAATTCTATATCCGCCAGACGATGGAGCCGCTCAGTGGAATAAAACCTCGGAAGATTAAAAATTAACTTCAGCAATTTGTTCTGAGATATTTGTATTTTTTTAATATGACAGTTCGCACTCGTCGACCAAACAGGAGCTGCATAGAAAATTACAGCATGAAAAATAGATTTTAGTATCAATTTTTTGTTATTTATGCTAAGTTATGAATTTCTATTTATAAAGGGGTATAGTATTCGTGTCAGTACATTCACCTTATTTATAATGTATGATATATGATCGTTGAACTTCATCTTAGGATCTAAAATGACTCCAAGGTATTTAACTGTTCTTTCCCACTGTATAGAGTAGTTGTTAAATATAAGGTTGTTCTGAGGTAAAAAACAAGTAAGAGTGTTATATTCGGCTATGCTGAATCTTATATACCCTTCACCACGGTGTATTTTAAAAATATCAATTCTATAAAATTTTAATTTATTTCATTTTCCCGTTTATATCATTATCATAGCAATAACAAAACGAACAACAACAACGCTAAACGAAATAAACACACAAAAAAAAAACAAAATACACAAGACAGTAAAACCAACAGACATCCAAACATATGAAACGAAATACACAAAAAACAAAAACAAAATACACAACGCAATGAAACCAACAGACATCCAAACATACGAAACTGAATACACCAAAAAACAAAAACAATATACACAAGGCAATGAAACATACGAAACGAAATACAAAAAAGCAAAAACAAAATACACAACGCAAAGAAAACAACAGACATCCAAACATACGAAACTGAATGCACCAAGAAACAAAAACAATATACACAAGGCAATGAAACACACAGCCATCCAAACATATGAAACGAAATACTCAACGAATAAGCAGTGTTGTTGTTGTTGTAACAGCTAAAACTATACAATAATCTAGTTGGGGGGTTCTACATCAATGTCCAGGCCTAAAAATTGGGCTACTTCAACTGGATGCGTCCATAAATCCATTGGACAGAGTGAAGTAGGGTTGGCTGAGCAGTTGAATATGTGGTGGGTGTCATGAGGACCCTGACCACATGCAGGACATTCGTTGGGGACGGCACGGTCTATACGTGACCAGTAGGCATTGAGTCTGTTGCTCCATCCCTATCTTAGTTGTGCTAGAACTACTCTTGTTTTCCGCGGCAGGTTTTCTTCCGTGTCTGCTATGGGCGGTGGGCGACCTCCAAGTATGACCTTCATGCGGTATCCTGCGACCGCGCAATTTATGGCGTCTCTATGAATGTCGTTCAAAGCTGCCGAATACGAGGACTGATCCAGTGGATCCCGCACATATCTGCATATGTTTTCCTCGTATATACGAAGATCCTTCCTGACATGCCTCGGGGGAGTATCCAATTGTATGATGTTAAAATTGGGATGACTTCTCCGATGACATCCCAGGAGGAACTGTTTAGTCAACATGACATGTGTTCCTTGACTGGAAGGACCTTCGTTTCCTCGTGCAGGTGATGTTCCGAGGTAATTTGTAGGCAGCCCGTTACAGTCCTTAGAGCGGCATTTTGGCAGTTTTGAATGTTTCTCCACTGGGTATCACTTAGCGAAGGTGACCACACTGGAGCAGCATAGTTAACCACTGACCGACCAATCGTTTTATATGTAGCCAACAAGGTTTCTTTATCCATACCATATCCATAAGCCTTGTGAGATCTGAGTGGCAATGGCGGTTAATGCTGTAGTGGTGCTGTGCATTTTGCGGAAGCCATGTTGGTGACGAGCTGCTGTTAGGTGGCTGGACAGCTGGGGGAGGAGAAGCGCCTCAAGAGTCTTCGCGACTGGTGATAGGAGGGAAATCGGCCTGTATGATTGTCCCTCTGTCGCGTCTTTCCCAGGTTTTAAAATGGGAATGACTCTACCCTTTTTCCAGGCTTCGGGTATTACGAGGCTGCTCACTGACTTGTTGAAAACCATAGTCAGGTACTCAACTCCCCGCTCGCCAAGGTGTTTTAACATCAGCATGGATATGTCCGTGACTGGAAGGTTGTGAAGTTTGCGAACAACACTTCGTTTCGCCTTGTCTCTCTCAGGGTGCTCAATGAATTGCCGGCAAAATGCGCGCGAGCACCCTTCAGGGTCGGAAATGGGGATATCTGCAAACTTAATAGCGACCCTGTCATCCTTCTTCATCGGGTTAGAGAGAGATCGAACTGTAGACCACAACTTACTAACACCCGAACTCAGGTTGCAGTTCTTCAAGTGATCTAGCCATTTAGATCACTGAAGATGCGTTCGGTGAATTCTCTGAAGCCGTGCCATTCTGCTTTCTTTTGGTTTACGTATTGACGGCGTTCAGAGACGATAAAATCGTTAGGTCGATCCAGACAAACGATTGTGGGTAAGTGGTCTGATCCCAGAGAAACTACGGCTCGCCATGTTCCG